ACAGTGTATACTTTCATGCTTGTCTTCATGTTTGCGTGTTAGTCACACTAGATGATCTGTTTTCTATGCTTATTTCTAAAAGAACTAACTTGATTTTCCATAAAATTATTGTCATTGACGTTGCATTCGAATTTCCTGGTAATAGGAACTTATCATGTCATGAATTAAATACAAAAATTTGCAATATTTCGACTAATTAGGATTTACAGTAGAAACCTTAGATTTATGGCATGCTTTACAAGACGTTAGAAAATTTTAGTGTGATCTATGCACTGTTATTACTAACGCGTCTTTTCCCATTTATGGGAAATCGTACTAAATAATCTTTAGCTTTTCGCCTTCTTCTCCTGTGTGGTAGAATGTAGGAAAAATAACGTGCTTTTTGTTTCTAACATTCTCAACAGAAAAATATAAAAGAGGATGACTATGTTCATGACAGTTAGCTTCTGACTTATGCTTGATGTAACCTGTTGAATATGTTATACCCACATTTTTTTTTTACGTTAATTAAAATCAATCCAAAAGACAAACATGTATTTATCGCTAATTGTGGTTCATGCTTCAATCGTGTTTTTGCTGGATGAGAGTATGAACGATGAATCATTACTAAAAAAGAAAGCATCGATGCAACGTACCATCTGGTTAAGAAGGAAACCAATACTCTTCGTCAACTTGTAATTAATACTAATATTTCAATGTGTCATCATTTTGATTTGATCACAATGAAACATAAAGAGTGTTTCAGAAATTCTGTGACAATTTTGAAATTCATTGTTCTTGTATTCAGCTAAAGCGAACTCCTTCAAACTTTGGCACACCATTGCACATATGTAGTGCTACATAAATACAAATTTTGAGGTCTATAGCATACCCTACGGATGAGAAATTGTAATGCTGTTGTCTTGCACTATTTTCAAAATTTTCTAAAAGTCAAAATTTCATATAAAAACTGTAGAAGAGTTATTATTTCAAGGACTGCTGTAATTAACAGGCGTCAAAACAGAAAATTTCTTTTTTATTAACATAGTATTGGTTCTGCACTTATCGATGACAGAAGTATATAGAGTTCAATATGAGTTCGTTAGGACTGAGCCAACACACAATACTACATGAACAATCTGCTAAAACTTTTCTTTCGTATTAGATCTAAAATAATTACAATCATCATAGAAACTGAAAGATATTACAGAATTTCTTCTTCCATTCGAAAATCGACCTTCTTATACAATGATAAATGCTTTGAGCTTTACGATCAATCTTTTTTAATATTTTCAATATGTAAATATACTTTTAGTATGACGTTAGTAAATACTTGTTATTTTTTAAAATTATTTTGCAAAATTATACTTTGTGTTACTTTTAGTAGAGTAAATACATACAAGAATGTATGCGATAGAACATTAAACTATTCATTAATAGATACAGTATACATTGTGATCATAGATCTATAATAAATATTCTTCACAGAAATAAAAAGAAAGAAAATAAAACGCAAGGTCGATCGATTGCCTATATAAAATACACATGTTTTGTCGTTCTACAATTTTATGTTCTCTATTCGTTTATTTTTACTAGCAATCAAAACATTTGATAAAGGAAGAAAATAAACCAGTCATTCGTAATTCTTAGTGTATTTTTGTCGTGTAAGACAGACCATGTGTTTAATTTTTGGTTTAATAATTTTACTTTATGTGACCTATTATTTATATAAAAATTTTTTTCCTTCGCCTAATATTACTCCAAATGGTAAATATGTTCTTATTACTGGTTGTGATACAGGTTTTGGTCATGCATTAGCTATTGAACTTGATAAACAAGGTTTTAATGTATTAGCTGGTGTTTATATTTTTGATAATGTCATCACACTTAAAAATAAACTTTCATCAAATGCTACGATTTTTCGTCTTGATATTACAAATGAAGAAGATATTAATGCTACATATGACTTAGTACAAAACAAAACAAATAAACTTCATGCTCTTGTTAATAATGCAGGTATTGGAGTATCTGGCTACATTGATTTCATGACATTAGAACTTATGCGTAAAACAATGGATGTAAATTATTTTGGACATGTAGCAATGACAAAAAAATTTTTACCATTATTAATTAATAAATATGATTCACGTGTTATTAATATTTGTTCAGTAGCTGGTTTTCTAGGTGTACCAAGTCTATCGGCTTATTCAGCTTCAAAATATGCTTTAGAATCATTTTCTGATTGTCTTCGTCGAGAAATGATTCCATGGGGTTTACGTGTTAGTATTATTGAACCTGGATTTATGCGAACACCCATCATTGAACAAAAATATAAATCATTTGAAGAATTTTGGTCAACATTATCAAAAGATGTACAAATACGATGGGGTGAAGATTTTCTTAAAACACGATATAATGATGAAACGAATAATGTATTTATTAAATATGCTGAAGATCCAATTAAAGTTGTACGAGCACTTCAACATGCTGTTATGAATACAAAACCTTATATTCGTTATCGACCAGGTTGGCAATCAAATTTTATCTTTTTTCCACTTTCAATGGTACCTGCTTGGATTGTTGATTTTATTTTGATTAAAATCAATAAGTCAACTATTCTTCCTGCAAGTGTTTATAAACAGTCAAAAGACTAAAGTTTTTTTTTTCTTTATTTAATAAAAGAAAATTTCTGAATAAATTTTTTCATTGGAAATCAGAATGAAAAAACAAGCAGACAAAAATGTTTTTATAAGACAATCAAATACAAAAGGAGTTATAATTGAGAATGATTGACAATTAGAACACAGACATGTATTTCATAGGTTCTATTAAAAAGTGAACCCGGTTTCGAATAAATTTCGACTTAAAGAAAAATACTCCACATTTTCAATATCAAAATCAAAGAAAACTTTGTTTGAGAAACTCGACGATCAAATCGAGCTACTTGTCAGAACATTTCATACTAATCCGCTCGTAGAATATTTACATAGAATTATCACTAGTGTTGCTTTACAAACAACAATATAGGATTTGTAATTTTTCTGAAAATATTATTTATCTGAATTTTTCTTCTGATATTCCAAATAATCGTTGATATGACTACACTTGTTCTCTTTCATTATGATGCATACGATGAAATGTCTACAACGAATCTTCATGCCACATATTGTCCAGTTACTGAAAGATAGAATTAAATCTGTTATAATGTGTGCTATAGCAGTTGTATACAGGCAATAAACCGACTCTAGTATAATATTTAAACAATTGGCTATCCTCTGATTGCCAGTCTACTGAGACATACTAATAATTATTCGTTGATCAGCAATGTACTGCTTATATACCGATGGTAGTGGAAAAAAATGGATGACTTGAATAATATTATAGAAAATAGATAGAAAATGCAGTAGCATTCATAGAATCTTGAAACTTAATTCTTTTGAATTGCTACAACTAATGATAAACTATTTAATAGTTCCGTATGGTCGATTTGATAATTTGTATGTTGTGTTTCAATGATCGTTTCCGTCTCTGTATGTGGATATGAATCTTTTTCCTGTTTCATGCCTACACCCACACTTACATCCAGTTTACTATACATTGGCGTAGTCATGTATTACTGAGGTTAAGAAAAATAGATCAACGAAGAAAAAAGAAAAACCATTAACGCTCAAAAGAAAGAAAGATTATTTAGTGAATTATGATGAATCAAAGTTTTCTTGCAAAACTATGAATTGTCACAAGAGAGTCCTTGGGACTAATTATTAATTTTCGTTATTGAGCTAGAATCTTTACACTGTATTCTTGAAAATTTCTTATTTCTTAAAAAAGTGAAAAGAACTCAATGATGAAAAGGTTTAAAATAATCCTCTCTAATATTGATAAAATGTGTGACGATAAGAGTCGTCTATTTATCGTTTAAATGGAATTGAAGATCGAAATTTGGATTTCTCAACTTAAACCAGATAAAAATACAGAGATCATGTCTTAACACAGAAATTTTGTAGTAGAACATATATAGTCTGAGAATATTATTTTCATGCATGAAAACCGATTTTTCGCTTTCTAATATTGAAAACTGGTTTTAAATACCATATGTCTACAACATCTAAATAACATTGATGTCATCGCAAACGAGAACCCTAAATAAATTTCTATTGTTCAAATACATCTACAATGTCCACTGGTTATATTAATGACTATTTGACACACAATTTTGATGACAATCGATACCTGTTATCATCCTACATATGCATCTGATGTGCTGACGAAGGTAACTATGGATACAAGTATTTATATGCTAGTTACTGAAACATCTGTCGTAAATCGACATTTCTATCAATCTATGGACACCATGTGGTTCGATCACCATTTGTATTACATTTTGGTTTGTTTACACATTTACTACGAGCGTCATATACATAGGTGTTAACTTCATTCATATATAAACGACTACAATTACTGAACACGTGAATAACATTTCTAACACCATACTATGGACATATGTGACATACAGTGTATATTGTATTTTTTGTTTATATTATAGAAATTTTTGAATAATAGCATATAGCATTCGTATTTGAATTTTTACTACATAAGACAGCTAAATCACTCAAAAGTCATATTGTAGAGTTTGCGGACACCAAGTAGTAACTATTCATGTATTGAATTGTGTTTTAATGCATCAGTTTCGCAAAGAACTAAAAAAGAAACTTATCAACAGAGTTCCTGTTTTTTGTACTTTAAGGATTCTATACGGAACGTAAGCAAACATTTGTCATGAAGTCAATGGTACTGGCACGAATACAAATAGGAATAGAACGACAAAAACAATACAGATGATAAAAAGCAAAACAAATACAAAGATGAGCGATAACAGCATTTGTAACATTCTTCGTCAGACGACGAAGAAAAAAATTGTCTACACAAAATATTGATACATGGAGTTATTTCAACAATTAAGAATATAAAATTTCACATATCTGTTGTCGAGTGTTAGATAATAGATATTAAATTTATGATACTCATGATGGCCGTACTCGATTTCTTCGTTGATGATTTAACGAAAACACGTTGAATACTTGCTTACGAAAACGTTTTGATGCTACATAGTAGCAGTAGAAAGAAGTCTAAAAAAAAAGCAGAGAAATTATATTTTTTAGCATTTAAGATAAGTTCTCTTACCGCATATATTCCATAGCCTAGAACATTAAAAAATTGTTGAACTATTTGTTCTTGTGCTCCACGAACAGGGTCTTTACTAATACCGACTGTAAGAAAATAACACTGTGAAATAGCAAATGGAGCTTGAAATATAATTACAGGAGCAATATGAAATAAAGTCATTGTTGTCATTTGTCTTGTAATTACTGAAAGTAAACGACGTCGTTGTTGTATTGAGTATACATGAAGATATCGATAAGTTAAAAGATCAAATCCAATGATTATAATAAGTGGAACAATTGTAGTTAAAACTAGATATATAAAATACGTACGATATTTAGCATAGACTGTATTTACTGTTATACACATTGATTTGCTTCCGTCGGAACTGACAACAAGTTCTTGAAAGAACAAATACGGTAATTCTTCGACAATCCAAAGAAATAGAAAGCTAAAAAGTAGGTAACGAGCTGTTCGTATATTACTCCTTTCTCGTACGAGTGTCAATGGAGATGTGACTAAGAATGCATCAATTGATTGTAAACACAAAAAAGTATACGAACTAAGAGTATTGACGTAAATGATGGGAACACGTAACTTACACCAAATATTACTTGTCAATGTAAAATCAATTTGAAAACCTTGACTAAGAATACGTGTTCCGAGACCAAAAATGAGAATAAATTCGTCGAATATCGATCTTGAGAGAATATAGAGAGAACAAGCGTTTTGTTTATAGTAACCCAATGTAGTTAATGTAACAATGTTAATTATATTGCCTAGAATACCAGCCGTGAGTATTGTTAAACCCAATATATTCACAAGTAATCGTAAAATAAATTGATATCGAACAATATCTATTGACATAGAAGTAGAAGTGAAAGTAACATTTGACGAAGACATATTCTCTTATCTATCCTGCAACTGAACTTTATATATTTTCTTTTTAATGAGTTCTTTTTCTATATAGAATTTTCATTAGTTACATGATGGAGAAAAAGAGAAAGATATTAATGTTACAAAGCTTTCACTGAAAGCAAGACGTGAACACAGAGAAAAACATCTACGTCAATACTGTCAACAACAGAGGCACAATAATGATACTCCAATGACTAATAAGGACATTAGAGAAAGTAAAACGGCTAATTAACTAATCCTGTAGATCAAATTGCCTATATATGTATTTCGAGTCTGATTAACCGTTGAATCTTGTTGAAAAACAAAGTCTATCATTACATAGCAGAAAAAATGCACTACGATCTCATTACAAAACAAAAACTTATTTAATATTAACAGTTTTGATTTTTAAACAGTGAAACTAAAATATAATCACAACTTGAAACTACTAGCCAGCTCATTTTTCTATATAAGTAGCTTTGTGAACTTGAGTATCTGTAGATAATAAATAGAGTGAGAATAGAATCGATCAACAATTTCATATGGCCAACAAAAGACATCCCTCGACATAATCCCATGTAAATATTTTTTTAATCGAAACGGGTTTCAAGTAAAATTTAAAAAAAAATGAAAAAATAAATCTCCATATATCTTACATATGAACTGAGCCAGCATTCACATCACGTTACGGTGATCCTTTGTATTATTATCTTAAGCAACGATAGTAAGACTTGAACATGCGAACTACTTGATCAGAAGTCTCCTATACACACTATTGAGATATACTAACTTGAAATGTTTTCTCATTCAAAACAAAAGATATTTGAATTCTAACTTCGTGACATGAGTTTATCAGTGTTACAATATTCAATTTCATCTACATAAAATCTTCAATGCTTCATATGATTCTTCAGAATGTGGATGTCGGTTTCGATGTCGATATGCATGTGTATTTGCAAATAATCATAGATAAACGCAAGTTCAGACCGAGAGTCGAGGCAGACTCACATCCAAATCTACACCCTGCTCTCGGCATGTTTGTAGCACACATTGCTTTACTGTCACTGGCCCATATCAGTTGACGTTTGAGTGAGAGAAACAATAATATTTTGTTCAACAAATAATGACAAGAATGTCCTGCATCTATTTTTTTCGTAGAAATTAAAGCAAGTCAAAAATCATTATTCATCTAACGATGGTAATTATGAGAAACAGAGATTTGTATGTCAATATCAACAAAATAAACAATTCTTTGACGACTAATGTCACGATCAGAAAATACACAAAATAATGAGAAAGTTAAAGTAAACTATTCCTATCAAACCAATTTTCTCATTAACAACATTTTTTTTGTATGCATCATCGAACATAAAAGTATTAATGGCTTTCATTTCAGTTCATCTTTCATGCTAATTCTCATGTAAAAAGAATTCGACGAATGACCAGATTAAAATCGATTAAAAGGTGTATATAAGTGTGAATCTTCTACTCAATCACATCCATGCTCCTTGAATCAATCAGTATGATAACAGCCATTCAGCTGATTATAGGAAGTTTTACACGGCTCAAAGTAAAATATCTGCTTTCATCGCATGAATAAAAAGTTTGGTTCTCAGCAAACTGGTTAAAATTCAATCTTTTGTGTCTATTCTACCAGCAACAAGAAGACAGCATCATTTGCTAATCTACATCGTATTGGGTCAATTTGACTACTTTCCAGCTAAAACCAAATATATAACTACTCGTTCCATCCTTTTCATTTTCTCATTCACTTGTCTAAGCTTTCTTTTATTTAAAAAAGCATTTCGTAGCATACTCACAACAGCGATAGCAATCCAGTCACTACACAATCACAGTAGGAAAACCACGCCTATTCATTTGGTAAATCAAATATGCCAAACTTTACATTCCAGATCATTAACTGCCAGAAAGTTGTTAGTGATAAATATAACAGTTTTTTCTTGTTTCTGATTTATAGACCGAAAAGTTTGTAGAAACTCGATAAGAGACTTTTCACCATATTTAAGTAGCAAAATAAATGACATATACTATAGTGTTATATATTTTCAAAACATTTCATTTCGAGTGGTGCATTTAGAATCAACACAAAAATGATTAATGCAGAAAAAGCTTTTTTAGATTTGTTAGTCGGGTAAAGAATTGGTGAGAACTAGAAGATTAGCTTTACAACATAAGTTGTGTTCATCAATTGACATTCGTACAAATAAAAATCAGCTCTTAACTTTTTTGTAGTTTGGCCAAGAAATAAGCAAAAAGGGAGGGGAGGTTGGAATAAATTATCAATCAGACGCCACTAAAACGTAAACTATTCATAAACGTATAAAAGTGTCTGTTTTTTCAGTAATTATTGATATGCTACTGTATTCATGCGGTATTAACTTCAAAATAGTTAATCATTACATAAATATTTTTTCTTTTTAATGAATTTACTTGGTTTGTTTACGTTTTATTTGTCTTAGAAGAAGAAACATCAGAAAATATATGAATACTTTTAGTGAAAACTAAATTGAACCGGACCCATCGCTGCTAATCGTCGATGGTTAGCATGAATGCTCGATAATTCATGGTAAATAATCAATTTGATATTTGATTTATTTCTGATTTAGTGTGAGCAGTACACAAATAAGTTATAATAATTTCATTAGTAAATTAATTCTTATTGGATAAATCAATTTATTTTCTTATATAATCTAGAAATAGTCTAGCAAAAAGTATGAAGAGAAGAATATTGTGTTATACACCATAATATACTTGAAAAATAATTCTTATTTAGTCAGACTAATAATGATTTCAAAAAGTTTTGTTGAACATACGAAATAAAAAAAACCTTCAATACAAAAAGAATCATTTAGATCTATTAAACTTTTCTTAATATTTAAACGTCTCTATAAAGAATATCAAGTAATAAAAGATAATTCACATGAATAAACATGTATCTCTTTGACAATAGAAACTAATTTTCATGTTGATCTGAGTTCAAATATAATAATGTGTGTTAAGAAAATGAAATTTTCCGTCGCATCGAGTTAGATTCAGAATCGAAGTTATCGAGAAGACTTTTTATTTTAGTGTCAATGACAGATTCGTTTCAGTAAAACAATCAAACCTTTTACTGTTAAGTTTTAACGCACAAAATACACAAAAAGATATCATTGTTTGTAGTTTCCTAAATAAACTTCAAGATAAAGATAATATTTAAAACATATTCATATTAAAAAAAATGGTTATTATCAGCTTTTCGAAGTTGGAGTTTGGTTTCAGAGTTCAAAAGTTTGATTTCTCAGGTCTTAATGCAACACGCACACCTTGTCATGAGTTATTCCTTAAATTTTCCTTATTCATGATTTAAAAAAAAGATGAAACATTTTTTCAATTCTTTAAAATTATAAATCTAATTTGAAATCCATTCTTCTTTTTTGCTGCTTGACGTAATTGTTCTTTGCTAGTATCTGATAAATTACAACGATAAATTTGAATTTCGATCAATGTTTTGTTTTGTTAAAGCATTTGAATGAATGAATCAATTGATGCATCTGTAATCGATTTATTATTAGTAAGATATAATGTTTTAAGACTTGAATTAGTTCGACGAGCATTAAAAACTATTTGAGCACCTTTATCAGTAAGATCTATTTCATCTAGACCAAGACAAATCAATGTCGTATTTTTTCCAGTAAGTAGTTGAGCCAAATATTGTACACTTTTATCATCTAGATGATTAGTATGAAGATGAAGTTGTGTTAAAGTTTTATTTTGTTCAAGTTCATCAACAAGCATTTTTACACTTCCTGATGTTAAATCATTATGTTCTAAATTAAGATATAACTACATTTTTTCTCTTTTATAGCTCGTTGAATAATAATCAACAAAACTTGATCAGTTAAATGAATATAATTCAACCACATTGCATCTGATTTACTTTTAGATATTGTCTCTTCTAACTTTTCATTTTGATATTATTCGTTTGTTGTCATTGTATTCAATTGTTGGGTAACTTTTGTTGCTGAATCCTGAGTTGAAAATAGATCTTGTAAGCGTTTATCGATTTCTATTGTCAAATTTACTTATCTAATAGTCGATATACATCTTCAAAAAGAAAATATTTATGTTATGTACACTTACTCGGAATCAGATTGATCATATCTTAAATAGATAATACCTATAATGATTAAAGCGAGCCAACCAGATGGTTTTCATCCAAGAATTTTATCAGTCATGTAAACAGGAATGGTTGGTTTTCTTAGTTCACTTGCATATGTTAATTCTATTCGACAATTTTCTGAATTTTGATAAGCTTGTGTGAGAAAACAAATAATTACTGAAGCATTTTCGACACATTCACCCATACTAAAAAAATATATTATAATTTATCTCGAAGATTTGCTTGAACTTTACTTAATAAATCAAACTCTTATATACAAAAAAAATATCAATTTTTGATTATTCTATGTTTATTATTTTTAAAAATATTTTTCCAATATTTTATACGTAGTTCTATAATTATTTTTTTTTTCTTCGTAGAATGTTTTCAGTGGTCTTATGCAAAATAGAAAAATACCTACATGAACTTTTACATGACTCTTTTTTTTTTTGAATTAATTGATAAGAGTGAAAGATGTTTGTAATTATTGATCTTCTTCAATTAATTAATACAAATCGATTCGTAGAAAAAAGAAAACATAATGAAAATTCTAACTGATGAGTTTTAAAAAGAGAATCTTTCAGAGAAACTAGACGTGAAAATTTCATCTCATACTTATTTTTTTCTTTTTTTTTTGTTGAACAAATAAATATTCAATAAGAATATCTTTGATGAAGATATGGACCCATACTATCATTAATATCCATCCAAACTTTATAGCCACGAGATATAAGACCATTATAAACACATTGTACTTCTTTTTTATTATTTCATTGATACGAAATCATAATATGTGAAGACAAGCAATTAATCATTTTTAATTTAAAAATATTACAGATCAATCTATTTAAGCAGTTGATTGTGTGATACTATTCATTATAGAGTTTTATTTTTTCTCGAACAGTGTATACGAATATAACCTTCACTGTTAGATTAAATTAGTAGAAAAAGCAACTCAAAAAGATTTTTATCTGTTCAATTACTGTGGTATCTGTTAGACCGAATCTGTATATACTGAAGTTGTGTGTTTCTAACTTTTTCTTAAGTTGTTTTTTCTTCTTGATGTCTTACGTTTTTGTGTCTTTTCGAGTTTTTGTTAATCATCTCTTACTTTGAGATACTATTGTTAGAAAACTCTACACCATATGTTGGCATTTTTTTTTCGATTTGCTTATTGATCTTTCTGTTTACTTTCATTTTCTGTTTTTTCTCCTTTCTTCAGCATTGAAAGTTTGTTTACTGAGCAGTAACACTGTCTGTTTAGTTTTATAAAAAAAAAAAAGAAATGAATGAGTTCGTTTTTGTAATCAAATGTTCGACAGTGAAAATAATATAAATTGTTCTCATTTTAATATATTCATGCACTGAAAAAATAAGAGAATTAATGTCGTTATTTCATTTGTTCATCTTATTATTATATCCGAAAGTACTTACTAATGAATAATTTCTAAGTGTTGGTAGCTTCTATTTTGATTTTATTCGAAGACTAATATGTTTATGATTAAAATAGAGATGTAATTCACTATTTGTCTCTATCGAATAAAAATTTTATAATGACAAACCAGAGATGTCCATCGCGGCGCTGCCGCTGCCGCTGCCGCTGCCGCGCCGCTGCCGCGATGGCGGTGGCGGCGCGGTGGCGGCGCGGCAGCGGCAGGTTTTTTTAAAAAATTACCGCGGCAGCGGCAGATTTTTTAAAAAGTCATCGCGGCAGCGGCGCGGTAGCGGCAGGTTTTTTAAAAAACCATCGCGGCAGCGGCAGGGTGTTTTTGGAGAACATTGAAAAACTGTATGAATTTAATAGAATTTCAGGATTTACAAATGAAACGCCCTGGTATTGAATAAATCTGATGGACTAGTACCCATATCTCTGGTCAAATATAGTCACAGCAGTGAAATTAGAAACACTTTTTTGAAAACCGTCGCGGCAGCGGCACGTTTATTTTATAATTCATCGCGGCAGCGTTTCTTTTATAAGTCATCGCGGTGCGGCAGCGTCGCGGCAACATTTTTTTATAAACCGTCGCGGCGCGGCAGCGGTGCGGCAGCTTTTTTTTTCTAAGGCCGCGGCGCGGCAGCGGCAGATTTTCAGCCGCGATGGACATCTCTGTGACAAACGAACAATGTAGACAGAAAATATGAGAATAAGTATGAATGAAGGCGCATATTTTCGGCTTCTTTTCATGCATAAGTCATACTCTCGACTTTTCATAGTGAATTCAAATATACCAACTTTGCAAATTGAATGAAATGAAAAAAAAAGATGTGCGTATGTCTAAAACAATATTATTGTAAGCAAAACAAACTATTCAAGATTATCAAAAAAAATTTTGCATTTTTTAATCAAAATTTTCCCGAAAAGAAATTAAATAGCATAGATATATTCTCAATCAGTTCATCAAGTTCTTTCAAATCATAAATGAAACTTTTTTTTTTTAATTTTATATTCTTCACATCTTAATTTGATGTACAACGGCAGTATCGTGCAATATCCTTACAAACTTATATGACCATCTATTGGTCGTACAACTTAGATATCTTATGACTTCAAATCTATATAGAATATTGATGTGTAAATTGAATACTATTATCGAATTGAAATAAATATAGAATGAAAGATAATAAATGATTAAATAGAATAAATTTTTCTTTAATGTAATTAATATTTATTAATATTATCAAATAAGAAATCGTTTGTTTTCATTAACTATGTAATAATAGAAAAGAAAAATCATGTTTGAATGATTTTTCGATAGATAATTTTCGTATATTTTTTTATTTAGAGTATTTATTGAAATTAAAATAGAGCAAAGAAATATCTATCAATATTTATTTTGAAACGAATTTTGTTGTTAAATCTATGAAATATTAATTGACATTCGAAGTCGTTGTAATTAATGGTTCCTTTATCTTTTTTGAATATCCACGACATCATATATATATAGTTATGTATCTGATAGAACTGACTTACACGACTAATTCATAAGTAGTCAATGTAGTTATCTACGAGAGTAAAGGTATACAACACTTTAATTTATGATAAAAAATAACAAAGAAGATTTTAACCTGATCAAAACTTGTTTTTTTTTTAAATAAATACAAAAATAGTTTTTCTTATTATTATTCAATGTAAATACTGTTAATAATAATTATTGAAGTTTGATAAAATAAACAATATCATTCATTTTAATATGATTATATTTAGAGAAAAAAAAACAAGATTAGATATACGATTATACTCAGATGATATAAATTAATTATAAATAACTCTTTTATAATCGTCATTTATACTATTAAATATGCATGAAGTTCTCATTTGAGACTTTATAAGATTGTATTCGAAAAG